GAGGAAGTTTTTTCCTGTGCGGGTGGTGAGGCAGTGGCCCAGGGTGCCCAGAGAAGCTGTGGATGCCCCATCCCTGGAGGGGTTCAAGGCCAGGCTGGATGAGGCTTTGAGCAACCTGGGCTGGTGGGAGGTGTCCCTGCCCATGGCAGGGGGTGGCACTGGATGGTCTCTAAGGTTCTTTCCAACCCAAACCACTCTGTGATTCTGTGATTACTCGAGCACTCAGGTCAGACGTGTAACCTGGGCTGCTAAATCAAAGCATGCTGCCATCCAGCTGACGGATGGCTCAGGAGCAGAGTCTGGTCTCTTGTGCTTTCTAGAGCTCTGTTAAGATTAAAAGAAAACCTGAAGAAGCCATTTCAAATTGCATAAGTTAATGGTTTCTCTCATTACATCAATATTTAAGCAGGACCCACATGTAATACACAATCTTTACTCAAAACTGTGGAATAAAATTATTTAAGAAAAAAGGGGAAGGATCTGTTGGGGACCTGGCCTTGGACAGCACATGCTCCCTGGCCCCTGCCTGTTCCTAGGAACAGGACAAGCATAGGGACAGTATTGCTGAGCTGTACACTTCACACTAGACTTCAGGACTGAGTGGTTCCAGGGGCAGCCCTGTTGCATTATATTCCGCAACGTGTTTGTATTGTGCATCCCTCTTTTAAGTTATCAGCTATTAATGTGCTTTACTAAAGCTGACCTTGTATTTTTTGGGTTTTTTTTGAGCAGGTTTGCCATGTGAGTTGCACAGCTGGAGGCAGATGGCAGAATACTCACCAGAAATGAGACAATTCGCTTGCATTCTCCACCTTTACCATAATAAGGCCTACGATTATCTACGGAAGATTCTTCCTCTGCCTCATTCTTCCAGCCTGACAAAGCAAGTTTTTATTCATTCGTTCATTCTGAATGTATTTCCAGGGTACTCATGTAGAAAGAGGTGTAACAGATCTGTCCCGAAAACATTCAGCGGGAGGGAGTGCTTTTCACTGATTTGTTTTAGTAACGTGAGAGTGGGAAGTGTGTGTTGATACCTCTCATCTCAGAGAACTGGTATGTATTCATTGCACGTGCGTCGCATTAACGAATTTAGAGGAATTTCAGAGCTTGCTAAGTATTCTCAGATGAGCACGGGTGTGAAAAATGCTACATTTCAGGGCCTCAGCTGCTGTAGGGTCTGTATGTGTTTTACTGTTCACTGGGGAAAAGGAGGAATAAAAAAAAGTGGAGGTGCTTTCCTACATTTTAGCACATGCTCGTGCCCTGGGATGTGGAGTGTAGACTTGTGAGAGGGGACGGATGAGCTGGATACTGGAAGGAAAGGCAAACAGGAGTAAGGTCATCTAGAAGGAAACAGCAGGAGGCAGTGTTAAGGGAACACCTCCACTGACAGCCAAACCTGAGTGAAGAGAGTAAGTGTCAGTAAGAGGAAATCAAAACATGGAGGACGTTGAGGCTGTGTTCTGGGAAAGGGAGGAGACAAGAAGGGGACATGAAAAAGTGAAGGACTGCATAAACCAGATGGACTGGACCTTTGGTTTTTCTCACCTTGCCCCACTCTGGGAAGTTGGTGAATCTTGAGGAGTGTCTGTTCCAAAGTCGTAGAAGGGAGGTATTTCTGTATCACGGGTTTGGTTACGGAACTCATTGCAAGTAGGCTGAAAATTTACTACCTGAAGTGTCGCCAGCCCCGTTATCGAGGAGTGAAGTTGTAACAGCACACAAAACAAAAGCTGAAGAAACTCTCCCCCTACAGATGTTGAGTCTCAAACTGCTGTAGTGTAGTTGCAGGATGCACAACAGCTACACACTTTGGCCGTGCCAGCTTGTGGGGGTTTCACACAGCTTCCTCCAAAGAATCTGTTCAAAGCGGTGAGAGGAGGTGGTGGACAGCGAGTGGACTGAGCAGAGTAGCGTTCCATATGGGCTGCTGAGGGTTTTGCGTCTTCCAAACTGGATGAAGATGTACAGTGTGGAGAAAGCCTGCTGGGAGGGAGAGCAGCCTGGCATTGCTGGCCCTCTGCATAGCCTGACTTGCACTTCTGTGGTTGGTTTAATTTTTTTTTTTTTTTTTTTTTGTCCTGATCTATATGTTGGAGAGGCAGGAAGCTGCTTTGTTATTTCCCTTCATGGTCAGTACTTTTGCTTGGCTTCCCATCACTAGGGTGTGAGAAAAGAAACTTGGAATGTGCATTAAGAAAGGCAGGGCTGCTTGCCTGTGGCTTAGCCAGCTCTGCAGCTCCGGGCATGGCTGACTATGTCCTAAGTGGTGAAAGGTGCTGGCTGTTGCTTCAGTTTTCTCAGAATCACATCTCCTAATGGCATCCTTCCTCCTTTTACAGTTGGCTGTCTAATAATGAGGATGCTGCAGGCTTCAGCAACAACATTTTTCTCCGCCTTCAGGAAAAGGTGGAGAGAGGGGAACAAGCCTACCGCTACTGTGCCCTGATGGTACAAGACATGTCCCTGCAGAAGCAGCAGGAGTGGGACTGGCAGACCCAGCAGCTGACAGGCTTTGTTGACTTGGGAGCAGGCGTCCTCGATGCTGATGAAGCTCCACTGGCCTCAGAAGTGATAATCCTCATGACAGTTGGCATCTCAAGTCCCTGGAGGGCTCCCCTTGGCTACTTCTTTGTGAACAGCACGACTGGCCACCTACTTGCTCAGCTCCTTCGTCAGACCATTAATAAGCTGAACAACATTGGTGTCACGGTGCTAGCTGTGACATCAGGTGCCACCGCTTGCGGTGCTGAGACTGCCAGAGCTCTGGGGATCAGGATAGATCCCGAAAGGATCCAGTGTACTTTCCAGCACCCACCTGGCTCTGCTCACAGCATCACGTACTTCTTTGACACTTGCCATGCGATCCGGCTGATAAGAAACGCGCTGCAGTGCTTCCAGAAGATGGAGTGGCTCAGTGACACTGTGCAGTGGCAACATGTGGTGGACCTGGCAACTTTGCAGGAGGAGAGAGTGGTAGATCCGTGCAGTCCCCAGTCAGGTGGACCTGGGAGTGAAGAGAGTTACCACCTGAAGGTCAACCTCGCTACTCCGTTATTCAGTGAGGGTGTTGCTGAGGCGCTGGAACACCTCCAGAAGCTGGGCCTGGCCTCGTTCTGCAACTGCAGTGGTACTGTCAGGTTTGTGCGTTTGATGAGCCATCTGTGCGATGTATTTCATGGCAGAGGGCCCTATGGAAGGGGACTGAAGGGGCCTTTGCTAGCTGGAAATTACACCAAAATAAGCCACCTCTTTAATGAGGCCAAGAGCTTCTTCACCACCTTAACGGACTCTATGGGGAGATACATTATTAAGAGCAAACGCAAACTAGGATTTCTGAGTTTCTTGCTCAATGCTGAAAGCCTCAAGTGGCTTTACACCAGCTCCGTGTGTCTGGAAGACACTCCTTCCCACCATCTCCTGACCCATGCCTTCAGCCTCGACCCACTGGAGCTGTTTCTCGGCGCCCTTAGGCAAGCCTGCGGCAGCAGCGGGAACCCCACCTGCGCCACGTTCCAGGCCGCGTATCGCAAACTGCTGGCCAGCTGCAGCCTGGCACCAGGCTCCCTGCAAAGCGGTGACTCAGGCACATCCCTCTCTCCGAGGAGAGATCTGACCCTGGGCAGTGTTCGTGCTCAGTATAACCCAGCTCGCGGGAGGACACAGGCAAGGGAGTACCCCGGTGCCGCAGGCTTGCTTCTGCCGGGCTCTGCACTGAGTAACGCCCTGACAGACCTCTCGCTGCACACACGGAGCATCGCCTGCGCCGCGGGCTTTGTTGCTGAGCAGTTGGCCTCAGACTTGCACTGCGAAGCTTGTCTTGCTTCCCTCTTTGAGTCAGATGAAAGCAGGCTAAGAGGTGGGTCGGTGCTCTACATAAAAAAGTTAGGAGGAGTGACTCTGCCCTCGGCAAGCGTGCACCACATCACCAGCATTTCAGAACAAGTCCTAAACTGGTATGGCAAAGCAAGAGATGGCAACAAAAACTCCAAGCAGTGGCATTTGTATCTAAAACAAAAAATCCTCCAGGAGCTTCTGGGACTAAGGTCCCTCTTCCCCACCGTCACAAACCATTTCTTTGATGGGGAGTTATGCATCAACAATCACTACACAATCTTAGTAAAGGAAATAACACAATGTTACTTAAACATCAGAACAAACCATGCCGAACACCTGAGCTTGAAATACCATTGTGGAAGGCACAGATGGAAGAGACTGAAGGGAAAGCATTTATTTCCATTGCTACTGGGTAGCTGTCAGTCGAGCCAAACCCACCTGGGGTCATGACTAATTGCTGTTCAGAGGATGGCAGTCCCCTACTGAGGGTCAGAGGTGGCCAGACCTAGGCAACACACGCAAGCAAACAACACGATGTCTTCCCGTGATTGGCCTGGCAAAACTGCTGTTGATAAGTGGTGATACGTTGGGCTGCTGCCAACAGTCTGATGAGAGTTTGAGCGAAGCAAGGAAGTTCTGATTCTGTGTTCCATCTAGCAGTCCTGCAGAGCAGCCACGTATTTCATCTGACTCATGGGGTGGGTCAGGATGAGCAATGGTTGCTCAGGATGCCTGGGAAAGGGGCAGGGGACGCTGCAGACACCCTGGAGGTGCTGCGTGGCTTGGTGCTGAGTGCTCTTGCCAGGAGGAGGAAATAGATGCATCTTCCACAGGGTGTGGGGGGGGACCTTGTATGCTGGCAGTTTGAGGTCATTAAAGCAGATCTGTTTTAAAAAAGCTGGAGGCAAGAAAGCTGACAGAGCTTTTACTTAAAAAGGAAAATAAAGATGTGAAAAGAAAATGGCACTCCAGCTGTGCACAAGCTCTAGTCTCCATTCCTACCTGTCTCATCAACCAGCTAACCAAGCTGTTGAAGTCTAGATCCCCAAGAGGGAGGACTACACTACCAAACTGCACCCCTAAACCCTCCTGTTTTACAAGTGAGGTAGTGGAGACTAAGCAGAGAAGCTGTTGTCCCCAAAAGCAAGAGGGCAACACTGAGGCTGTGGAGCCCAGCAGCACTGACCCTCTCCTTTCTGGGCAGGAGCCCCAGGCACAGCACGTGGGTGTGCTGCAGCTGGGCAAGCATTTCAGATCCCGTTACATGGCCCCATCAGATCACCCACCACCCGTGCCACATGGCCCCATCCTCCCAGAGCTGGCACATGTCCTGTAGCCCAGGACTCGAGGCAGTCTCCTTTTCGGACGTTGTTGGCACTGATTACTGAAATCATAGATTTGATGCTGAAATCCCAGTGGTACGTCGGTTGCACACACAATGGAATATTTGCACTGTCTCTAAATCTCCAGCCCCAGTATGAGCCGAGCCTTGGGGACCAGGCACTTTCCTCCCAGTGCATTTTTTTTGGCTGGCCATAGGCCTTCTGCCACTCCCTATCTGGGGAGCTGGTCTTGCTCGATTCATACTGAGCCATCTCTCAAATGCGAAGCTCTTACAGAGAGAAGCACAAGCTCCCGGCCCCCAGGATGGAGTTGGGAACATGGCATACCTGATACTATAAAAAAGCTTGAGAGTTGTTACAGGATCCCAGCACCAATGGGCATAATCTTCCAAAAGTACAGAGGTGCTGTTGCCCACTGCAGATACTGCTAGCTGTACTCACACCACAGGAATTGTCAGGTTTCAGTGGAATTTTTCAGCATTCACAATTCCACAACGGTGACCAAGTGATTTTCTGCACCACTCTTTTTCCTAGTGTCTCTTGGACACTGCGTTCTCTCTCAGCAACTGCTGATTGCTCAGATGTTCACCATCTCTCGCTGAAACACTCTCACCCTTCCTAGGACCACATCCTCCCTGAAGTCATAGAATCCTAGAATCATTCAGGTTGGAAAAGACCTCAAAGATCAAGTCCAACCATCAACCCAACCCCACCCAACCCACTAACCCATGTCCCCAAGCACCACATCTACACGTTTCTTGAACCCCTCCAGGGATGGTGAAGTCCATACAAACCCACCTCTAACCTCTACTGCAGCCTAAAGTAATCAACAGCCTTCTCCCAGGGCAGCTGGTGCGCTAGCGGGGGAAAAGCTCAGTCCAGGAACATCTTGTGTTTGCTCCACATCCCGACAATGCTCCTAGGACTCCCTGAGTGTTGCTGCTAAAAAAAGCTGAATGTAGAAATTGGATGCACAAAAATAAAACCAGGTTTTACTTTGCAGAAACAAATCACAACCTCTCTTAAGTGACTTGTACTTCTTAATGCAACAGGAAACAGCCTCAAGTTGCGCCAGGGGAGGTTTAGGCTGGAGATTAGAAAAGATGTCTGCACTGCAAGAGTGATGAGGCATTGGAACAGGCTGCCCAGGGCAGTGGTGGGGTCACCATCCCTGGAGGGGTTCAAGAAACGTGTCGATGTGGTGCTTGGGGACATGGGTTAGTGGGTTGGGTGGGGTTGGGTTGATGGTTGGACTTGATGATCCTTGAGGTCTTTTCCAACCTGAATGATTCTAGGATTATGTGATTCTATGAGAGTAATAGAGCTTTGCAAGAGTGCCTCACAAGCCTCCTCTCCAGGAGAGACAAAGACACAAATACCACACGAGCGGTGCATTGTGTCCTGCTAACAACCAGTCTAAGGCTCTTGACAAACCTTTGTCTCAAAGTTTTCCCCGGGGTCCTCCATGAGCTCTGTATGGCACCACACTGTCTCTGAGGGCGCTGCAGAACAAGCCGGTGGTACATCCTTGCACGTCTCTCTGCTCAGCCTGAGCCTGACTTGTCCAGCTCCTGCATGTGCAAAACCAGGCTTTCTCATTAAGGAGTTTAAAAGAAATGGAGCGATTATCACATAGGCTCAGCTACCCGTTGCTGGCTTGGTTGACACGTTTTGGCCCTTTATGAATGGTGTCACAATGTGCATGACAGCACTCCAGTAACCAGGGGTCTGTCTCCAGTAGGATTCGATCTCATACTGAAAAACCAAGCCAGTACTTGCATCAGAAGTGGACCTAGTGATAACAGATTTTGACATTTCAGTGAAAATATTTTGTCAGTGCTGAAGGAAAGGAGTGCAAAAAAAAAAAAGTATTTACAGAATAGTATAAATGTTTATTTTTCTTTGTGATTTATCTGACTGTTTTATTTTTACAATATAGAAAAGTGTATTCTTTGAATAGGTCTAGTAAATATAAATTTAATTTTTCTACTTTCAGATGTAAACAGAACTAGAAAATGAACCCTTGCCCCATTCCCAAGTATTTTTATGTAACTGGATGAACTTGACTGCAAATCTTGTCCAGCAGTTTGATGCAAATGGCTAAGGAAGTACAAAAACCATTTCACACGTATTACACCAGGGAGAAGGGAGAGAGGAAGCCAAGCTTAATATTTGAGAAAGCTTGTTCAAAACAAAATATAAGAACTAAGAGCATTTGATTGCACCTTAAAAGTCTTTACAAGCAAAATATTCTCAAGCAATGCCTTCATACATAATTACAACTGTAATCTAAATTTCACAAGTGTTTTTGCACACTATAAATACACATCACAAAAGGTGCAACTTAGAGTAAGACACAGAATATATACAAAATTAACATGGACTGAAGTCTGAACAGAAAAGGCATATTACATTCTGTTTGAAAAATAACATAAGTAGGTATTTATTCACTTACACTAATTTACATTTATACAAATCTTACTGGACATACTATATTAAGTCACTAGAAGTAAACTGAATAGCTGCACTATCTACATGTAAAGTTACTGCACTGACTTTTTAGTAAATCAAAGTCCTAATTATGAAAAAAAATGTCATTTACTTACACGAGGCAGATTCCCTTTTCAGAGACTTGCACAAATATCTTTGTTATTTATGCTCAGGGAGATGTTAGAGGACAGGGCCCTTCAGAGGGTGAGCAGGAGGCCAAACCTCGTCGGCAGCGGCCATCCCATGGGCTGTCCCGAGCTGCTGGCTGCCTCCCAGGCCCTTTGCACTCCCGAGGCATTTCGAGGACGCACCAGAGAAGGGTCAAGAAGAAAGAGCCTTCTGCTCAGTGCACAGGAGCATGGGGTGAAGGCAGGAGCAGAAGCATTCTCCCATCCTGTTGCTGTCACACATGGAGGCATTTAGCTCTGCTGCTGGTGTGCCTAGCCCCTACCTTTCCCCAGCCTGGTGCCCCCTAGAAAACCTGGAGGAAAGAGCGCCGCTACATTCCTCTGTATTTACAGTTTTACACAAGGAATACAAAATCCCTTTGGGAAAAACCTAGCTATCTTGTTCAGGCAGCGGTGAGACAGGTAATAAAAATGCCTGCGATTAAACACGGTTATTGATGTTCATGGTAGGCAAGTAACCTACCAGGTTCATTTTGCAAATGTGTTCCACTATTGAAAATGGGATTGCCTGTAACAAATACTGGAAAAAAATTCCCCTGCCCTAGTCCATGCGCAGCTGTAGTCAATTCCCCCGTCCCCCTGCTTTGTTGTGTAATCTATGCATCTGTTCTGGTAGCAATCCTGATTCTGTGCTAGCATCCTCTCTGATCACGGCTCTCACAGTCATTCCAAACACTAAAAAACCCCTTAGGCCAAGTAAATTGCCAACATACAGGGAAGCAGCATCGTGAAGACCCACAGCCAGGCCGAACATGATCCCTACCTGCGCTTCCAAGTTGACTGTAGATTGTCTCAAGTCCTCATTAAAACAACTGTGGTTCCACTGTCTCCCATGACCTCAGCTTCCCAGGCTTAAACACTTTTACAGGCTTACAGCTCAATCCTAGAAAACACAACAAAGTGCACAGCCCTGCCTCCAGTGAGGGATTAGGCTGCTGCAGACCTCTGAAAATCCAGCTTCATCTAAGAACCGGCATCCACCTGATGTACGCTCAGCTAACACCGTACACTGGGCAGACAGTCCAGCATTGTG